ATTTTATGGGAAAGAAATTCACACGGCAACCGGTCACTTTTTGCGGGGGAAAAGGAAAAGAGTGAGGCTGTAAAAGGTCGATTGAATGGAATGGAATTGAGAAAGGGGGCTTCCGAGTGACCGATCCATTTCATGTAAAGAAGAGGATGGGTGGATGACAAAAGAAAACAGGAAAAGGCTATTTTTGTTGTCTCTTTAGTACTTTTGGAAATAGTCTTCAAAAACTATAGAGAAAGCTTCAAGCCTAAGTGAAAAACAAAGTAACTTCTTGCCACTCACTTTAAAAACCTTTCCATTTTCTTAGAGTATCTTTGTTTTCTTTAGTTTTCTTTAGTTTTCTTTAGTTTTCTTTAGTTTTCTTTAGTTTTCTTTAGTTTTCTTTAGTTTTCTTTAGTTTTCTTTAGTTTTCTCTGTGAAAGCAAAAAAACGGATGAGAAATTGCTATTGAGAATTCTTATATTGAGAATTCTTATATTTACAATTCTTATATTAACAATTCTTATATTTACAATTCTTATATTAACAATTCTTCTATTAACAATTGCTATTATTGAACTATTAAAGAATTATCTACTTTTCGAATTGCAGAGCTGAACTCTGAAGTATTCCTGAAATCAAAACCACCAGAATCCTTGATACAAACTTTTTTCGTTGAACCTAGCAATCAATCTCTAAACAACTACCAAGTTGGTCTTAAAAAAGTCTTATCAATTTCACTTTTGGTTCAAGAACTGAACAAGAACAAGAACAAGAACAAAGTCAAATTTGTTTTGTTAAATTTGTTTTCCAATTTGCAAGTATATTCCATAGTTAGGCACTCTAGAAATCTTTGTAAGCATTTTGTCTTGTTAAAATGTCTGTCTAGTGGTGTCTTTTTCTTTGTCAAAATTCTGCTAACATTTTTCCAAATAGTATGTTCTACGTGTTTAAATAATTAATTGAATAAATTTGCATAAACAAATTTTTAATTGTTTAAAGTTCAATTAATCAAGATTTATCTCAATGCTTTGGTTCCAATATGGTACAGATTTGCTCCGGTTCCATTTAGGTACAGATTTGGTTCCATTTCGGGACAGATTTGGTCCCATTTAGGTACAGATTTGGTTCCATTTCGGTAGAGATTTGGTTCCGTTTAAGTACAGATTTGGTCCGGTTCCATTTCGGGACAGATTTGGTCCCATTTAGTTACAGATTTGGTTCCATTTCGGTAGAGATTTGGTTCCGTTTAAGTACAGATTTGGTCCGGTTCCATTTCGGGACAGATTTGGTTCCGTTTCGGTACAGATTTGGTTCCAAGATGCTACAGATCTGGTTAATGAATCTGGTTAATCTACAGATCTGGTTAATTAATTAAATAAATTGGTGCATATGCAAATTAAATGGATTAAATATCTTTTCCGTGTGCATCGCACTAGATAAAGAGCGCGTTATACTTTCCGAGTGCCCCACCCACGGCGCCCCACCATCTGATGCTATCTCAGCTCCCGTTAGAGCTATCGACTCGGAGTAAAGAAATGAAATCTTAGTATACAGAATTCAGATTTCATCTCTTTACTCCGAGTTGACCCTAGCGCGAGCCGATATAGCATCAGGTGGTGGGCACTTTGTGGGGCACTTGGGGCATTTTGTGGGGCACTCGGAAAGTATAACGCGCTCCTTATCTAGTGCGATTCATACGTAAAAGATATTCAGCCTATTGAATTTGCATATGCAGCAATTCGTTTAATTGACGCGTTGATCGACATCAGGTAGTGGGACATCAGGTGGTGGGGCACTTCGGAGCCACAGTTGGTGGGGCAGTTCGGGGCCACAGTTGGTGGGGCACTTCGGGGCCACAGTGGGTGGGGCACTCGGAAAGTATAAAGCGAGTTAACGTTGTTTCCCTTAAAGTTTTTCTCAACGCTTCTTACTATTCATTCGTTTTCTCTATGCTTCTTTTTTTACTCTTTCTTTTCAATTGAATAACTTTCATTTTAAATTAACTTTTAAACTAACATTTTAAATTTTAAAACAGCTGCGATTTAAACTCCGATTATTTTATTATAAATAAGATTTCCCTAAACTCATTGTAAATAGTCTATCCCGCAAATTTTCTCAGATCTAAATCTAAATTCGAAAAAATATTTGGCAAGATTGTTGCTGACTTTGCACTACTGAGAAAAACACCTGCAAATGATGAAAGTTTAGATTTGCATATAAACAAATTTCATAACTACAGCTGCCTATTTGAAGCGCACGCTTTAGAAAGCGCATTAATCACAAAGAAAACACTCTATTTCCAAATCTAAACCAAAATCTGAGTCCATAAAAAACAATGCTTTCGCTTGTGCTTAAGCAAACAAGTCTTGACCATTGTATAGACTATTTTCGTGCACTTTTCCTCCTTGTTCTTCCTTTCTTCCTTTTGTGGGATGATTCAAGGACACTCCAATAATTCGAGGAGGAAAAGACTGAAAACGAAGTGGGGGGAAAATGCAAGAAAGGAGGTGGATTTGAGAGATCTGCCGACCGCCACTCGCCACAAAGAGGAGAGAAATTCCCCTTGAGCCGAATCGAAATCATTCAATGGCAGGAGCTGTTTTCACCTTATGTGGATGGATTTGATTCCTTATTGTGGATGGATTTTATTCCAAACGCATTTTCATTTTTTCTTATCAATTGATAATTGACATCAGTTCAATAACTTTTAGAATTTCGATTTGATAACTAGATTTTGTAACAATAAGCCCCACAATAAGACAATACAATAGTAACTTTGTACTAGTTTTCAAGAAGAGATTCAACGCTCGAATGAGCTATAATAGTTTAGTTTATCTTTAAATCTGTCAATTGAATTGTCAATTGAACTATCTGTCTTACTAAATTATCAGTTAAACAGTTGACGACTACGCGACTGTACGCCCAAAATATTGGGTTGGTGAATTGAAAACTGCCGAACTTTGAACTAAAATTTATCCAACATAAAACCATCAATTCATTCCAAATAATCTCCATTATTATTGACGACTTCTGTCCATTTTACAGGCAATTTGTGGATTCCTCTTTCGTGGTAGGAGTTTGGCTTTGAATCGAAAAACTTTCAAAGCCAATTTTTGACTGTTCTCCCAATGCACGCGATGACGCCCGATGGTCGTTGTTAATAAAGTAATTTGGAGTCAATCAGTTGGGGTGCCGCTCCACGACCCTCTGCTTCTTTCAAAGATTTGTCCTCAGAACGAAACTTGGCAAACCATACTCGACACGTTCTTTCGGAAGGTGAGTCCTCCCCATATATCTTTTTAATATTAGCAGCTGCCAAGCCACGACTGTGCTCTTGTAGGAACTCATGAAGCATGACATGACGAATATGTCCTTAATTTGATTCCTTATCTCTCTAAATTTGGTTCCTTGTCTCTACAAATTTGATTCATTATCTCTCCAAACTTCGTTCCTGGTCTCTAAATTTGGTTCCTTACCTCTCTAAACTTCGTTCCTTATCTCTCTAAAACTTCGTTCCTTATCTCTAGATTTGGTTCCTTATCTCTCTAAATTTCGTCCCTTATCGCCAATTCTGGTTCATACATTGTCGAGTGCAATAGAAGAAGTGAAGAAAAATACCAAAAAAATAAAAAGCTGGAAGCATAATTTTTTCGCAATAATTAGAGGAAATGTTGAAGTAATCAAATCCCCTTTTAGCTTGTTCAATGCTGTTGTTTTTTTATCTGCGAGTCCCGCGAAATAGCCGGCAGTTTTCAATTCACCAACCCAATACATTCAGTCATCAAAATCTGCTTTCGATCATGGAACAATTTTGAGAAGTTCCAATGCGATTTTTTCAATGACGACAAAGTACCACAAGTACCACTAAACACCTAGTCATTCAGAATTGAAAGTATTCAAGATTTTCTTCAAAGAAAACTCCTCTTTCCATTCCCATCCAAGCCTTTGATGATCCGAAACGGATATGGATATCTTTTTTCAATAACTTTTATAGCTTTGATCATCAAGATGTGGCGGTTGAATGAACATCTCTTTTCAAATCATTTCTCTAGCACTCTTTTTTTGAACCACCAATATATCCGGAAAATCTCACCTCTTTGAAAATCTTTGAATCTTTCCTTCCTTTTCTTGACCGGTTTGCTATTACTCATCAGCGCTTTCTAGAAAAGCTATTTTTCGATTTCTATACAGTTTTGGCACTGTATTTAAAGCTCAAATTCATTTTTCTTTGCATATTTTGCGTTCTTCTTAAATCAATTTTGTGTTCTTTACCATTTTGAAAGTTGTTTTATTTTACAATGAGATCTAATGTCACTATGAAGCAAATGAGTGAAATCTGCTTCACTTTTTAGCATTGAAAAACAGACTTGAAAACAAGTACGATACTTTTCACTGAATGCTATCATTTTTAGAACATTTAACTGTTTTAAATACTGAAATATTGTTCTGCTTTTGTAGTTACAAGAAGCTGAATTTTTGGATCTTTTTAACAATACAGGCTGACCAGAAATAACCCATCCTTTTCTTTCTAGGCTCATATTTCTGTTATTTTCAAAACAAAACGATTAATTTCTTTTTTAAATGAAAATTCACATTGTTTTCTATATATATATTCAAAATTTCATGATCATAGCATCGATAGATCAGTTTTTATGAACACTCAAAAATGGCTCGTTATTTTTTGACCAGCCATTTTTGAACCTACAGAAAAAATGATCTATTAATGCTCTGGTCATGAAATCCTGAATATATACAGAAAATAATGTGAATTTTCATTTAAAAAAGAAATTAATCGTTGTGGTTAGCAAATAACAGAAATATGAACCTAGAAAGAAAAGGATGGGTTATTTCTGGTCACCCTCTAAGTCTATTATGCAAAAAGCTTAATTGTATACTTAAACATTTGAATAGTTTCCGTTTCAATTCTTTTTTACTTATGTTTTAAGCTTTGTTAATTTCAAAGCTTTTATTGTCATAGTTTTAGACCCAGCACGAGAATCGGGTTTCTAAAATCAGTTTCGATGCGGGAGCGATCCCTCGGGCGGATGGCCCTCACTGCCATTTCATTCCTTCTACTATTATGCTTCCATGCAATCAACGGTAACTATAAAACTTAACTTTCTAAAGCCTTGATTCTAAAACCTTGATTCTGAGCTTTGATTTGAAAAATTCCAGCTGAATGTGTCTCCGAATATTACGCCGACGATGTTGACAAAGAAAGAGCCTCGCAGATTCCGTTCTATTTTACAGCGTAAGTTTTTCCATTCAAGTTCAGCAAGTCAAGATGATAATTGTTATTGAGTGGTTTATTTGTTGGTTTCCTTCTTGGGTACTTGTTTTGGCATAGTGTCTGCTTTGCAGAATCAAAACGCCTAGAGGTTTACGGGAAAACTTTCAATCAAATACCCAAGAATCAAAGCAAATATTCAAAACAATTCAAGCAATTCAAGCAATTCAAAGCAATTCAAATTACAGTTTGGAAATCCGATCCGCGTTTGATTGTGCTCAATTCTGTGCTCAACGAAAGTTCTGTCGATCCGCCGTTTACAACTCGTTTGGGAGGAGTTGCGGGATTTCCTATAGTCAACAAGTCAATTGCATGTAGGTTCTCAGTTTAATTTTGATCCAAATAATCAAAAGAATCAAGAACATCAAGAGATTTCTAAATTTTCTTGTAAAATTTTGTTTCCAGAAACTCGACGAGCCGCTATCTGGATGATTTTCACGCCAAAGGACACCTCGTATTGCTAGCTTGCTTCAAGGATTGCCACGAGTATCGATGTGAGTTTAAATTTGAATTTTTTAGCTAACTATTGAGGAGATTTTAATTTCTAGATCGAGCGAGAACTCCTCAAATCATAACTTCCGATAGCCAAGGGATCTTGAAAAAGAAAGTCCAGCTGATCACCGGAGAGCCACATGATGGATTTGACACGGTTAGTCTAAATGGGAATAAGTTTAGTAGTGCTTAGAAACCGTTCTATATAGTTTTTATCTTGTAAAATGATTTTTGCGCTCAATTTTAGGCCCCTGACCCACCCTCACAGACCCTGAAATCCGCCCTTCAGATTTTCAATCAACAACACGATCTGCCGAGTTTGCCAGTTTCCATACCAGGTAAACTCTTTATGTAAAATCCGTCAGCATCAGCGCCTTCTAAAGTACTGCAGCCTGGTACTGTAGCCTGGTACTGTAGCCTGGTACTGTAGCCAGGGTTAACTTCACACTGATTACTGTAGCTTAGTGCCTTTCGAAAAACCAGACGCGCTTTTCAAATAATTACCGTATTTTCTCTAATAGTAGTGCACCCCGGCGAGCCGAGTTGGTGACGATTTTACGGTTTCCAAGCTTTTGCAGAAGCTCAACACTCTAATCCCCCACAAGATCTTATCGTCAGCTACATTTTCCGACCCCACATCGATAGGTTCTGATAAGCGGTTCTCGAGATTTCGACCAATTTAGACGACGCTCAGGGTGCACTACTATTAGAGAAAATAGAGTTTGAAAAGCGCGTCTGGTCTTTCGAAAGGCACCAAGCCACAGTACTCAGTCTAAAGTTAACCCTGGCTACAGTACCAGTACCAGTACCTCAGAGAGTTATCTACTGGGGGCTGCAGTACTTTAGAAGGCGCTGATGCTGACGGATTTTATATAAAGAGTTAAATACTTCTCAAAACTACATAAAAATGAAACATGAGCATGATCAACATGAAATAATCCACTTAAAAAAAAGCAGCAAAACCATGATCAACTTCTTTTAGCTGATCAATAGCCTAAAATCATTGCATACCATTTATCGTCGATGGAAACAAAAGACAAGCGTTAAGCTCATTTAGATAGATAGAATCCATTAGGACAATTTTGAGCATCGATCAATAAACCTTGAAAAGCAACAAGACAAAGGAATGCAAATTTCATTTCTATTAGAGAAAATACGGTAATAAGTTAAATTGACAATGTAGTTAAAGCTTGAAAAACGAAAAACGAATATTTACTTCATTTCATAAAAATTTAGTAAAAGGGAAAGTTTGCTTCACGACAACCTCAGAGAGTTATCTACTGGGGGCTGATTTCCAGAAGATCTACCCGGCAACAATCAACGAATGCAGGCGAGTTCAAAGCTCATTGAATTTTTATTATCCATTCCATCAACAAAATTTCTAAAGTTTCATTGATCCTTCTCGGAAATCCGGGTCTTTTCATTGTGAAAAGCTATCATATGCAAAACCCAAACCTAATTCGATTCTCTTGCGACTTTTCTTGGGACAAAGGACAACCTTTGACTGACCGGATCCGGCTGAACTTGGCTGCAAAACTTGTGGCAAAAATGCAGCCAAATTTAAGGCGAAAATTGCTCTCATGAAGTTAGGCATAGTGACGCTCAAAGCGGCAAAGCCGGCTCAATTGCTCAAAGATTTGCTCCCAGAGATTCTTTCCCTTCTTTTTCTCTAACGTTTTACTCGATATCACCACAAATGGTATTTCTGCTGGATCGTCCTCTCAGCATTACCAAGAAGTTCTTTGTCGTTGATTTTGTCGTATCCATGGTTCAAAGCAGTAACTTCTTTTGCTCCTTACCCTTTGCCAATTCCAAAAGGGAACACTTATGTATCGGGGCCCTTTGCCAGACGGCGAGCGATTACGCGGCGAGCGATTATGCATAAGGAACACCTAGCCAATCACTTTACACAGTGATTTTCCTTTTACTCTTTAAATGATTCCCAAATGAAATTTAGTGTTAAAAATTTGTGCTTCGGGCTTTTCAGGATCGTAGAATCTATTGGCGGAGTTCATTTTAACCCTTTGTCTCAAGAAGAGATAGAACTGGCTTTGGGTTTTGCATCTAATAGCTTTTCATAATGAAAAGAACCGAATTTTATTCAAAAAACCTGGAATTCCGAAAAGTATCTTTTCATTTCTTAACTGAAATTGTAGATGTCTTTGCGCTGCAACATGGAAAAACGAATCTTCGATGCATAAATGTTTATCTCTTCACTATTCAGTGGATGCTAAAAGCTGTTATTTGAACAAAGGTAATTAATTCGATCAAATTACATTTCAAAACGATTTCTTGATCAAAATACCTTTCAAACGATCAAACTACATTTCAAAACGTCAATAATCTTGCTCTTTAGGAACGCACCTCGGGAAATATGATTTGATCCACGATAAATCAATGACCTACCAGCAAATCACTTGCGATGTTCAAGGTAAAGCTTTTTGGTAGACGAAATTTGATCTAGGAACGACTATGGAATGTAAATGTTCTGATAAATGGATCTGGAAGCTTTCCAGAGCTCTAAAGCTCTAAAAACAGCAAAAAGTCAAGTCAATTTTCTGCTTAACTTTTAGTCATGCTCGCCGTGGCCGGCAAAGTCTGCCAAGCCGCCACTCAAGAGAATTTGGCCGCTCTTTTCAATTCAACTTGGGCAACAACCACCACCGTTCAACCAATCAACTCGGTACCTATCCTAAATTCTTCAAGTGTTGACATGAATACCGTACTCCGAAGGGCCAATGCTGCTCCCAGATTCAATATTGACTCAGATTCTGATGAAGATGAAGACTATGATGAAGAAATACCCAAACCAAAGCCAAAGCCAAAACCAAAAAGGAATTTGAAAAAGACAAGGAAAAATTCGCCGAAAAAGCGAAAAGCTTGGCAAAAACCGAAAAATCGACAGTGGCAGCAGAAAAAGAAAGAGGCAAAATGGAGAAAGAAAGTGAAAAATCAAAGAAAGGTATTGGTGTGAAGGGAGTGTGAGAAAGGAGTGCTTGATTTGAAATATGTTGTGTTCTTTTTAATCGGGTTGTTTTCTAAAGGAAAGCCTGGGAAAGCCACATTGATATGTAAACCGCGTGAGACTGTTTTCCAGTGATTTTTTTTCCTGTTCATTGACCTGAACCCGGGCCATAATGTGGAAGGAAACAGCTGCGAGAAGACCAAAAATTTCCCGCTAATTTTCCCGCGGGAAATTTTTATCAAGGAAAAAATTTCCGGTGCAAATACTGCGGGAAACCACGGGCTCAGCTTCAGACTTAGACTTAGGCTTAGGCTTAGGCTTAGACTTAGGCTCAGACTTAGGCTTCGGCCTAGGCTTAGACTTAGGCTTAGGCCTAGGCTTAGACTTAGGCTAGGCCTGGGCTGGCCGGGGCCAGGCCCAGGCCAGGCTTAGGCTAGACTTGGCGCTTGGGCCAGACTTGGGCCCAGGCCTGGCTTGGCGGCTTGGGCGGCTTGGCGGCTTGGCTTGGGCTTGGCAGGCTTGGCTTGGCTTAGGCCAGACTTGGCTTAGGCCTAGGCTTAGACTTAGGCTTAGGCCTAGGCTTAGACTTAGGCTTAGACTTAGGCTTAGGCTTAGACCACGGGAAAGTTTCTGAATCATCTTTATCATCTTTACCCGAGGGAACTTTCCTGTGAGATGATGGCATGAGAAAGGGATAGAAAGGGGAAACTATTTCGGGAAAAACTAGAAAGAAATTTATTTCCCGCGGGAAATTTCTATGTTCCGGGCTCTGATCCTTATTACAATAGCCTTATTACAGTAGCTTGTGATTACGGATTTTAGTAGCTTGTGGATTACTTTAGCTGACGGGATTACGATGGCTCACCTGAGCGCACATTTTATGAACACAACCTAATCTAGAAAATTTTCGATTTTCGATTTTTTCGATTAACAAAGTGTACCGTTTACACTGTCGACACCACTGGCACTTCGGGTTACGGTAGTTGTTTCATTGTTTAGAGACTTGATAGAAAAGAGGCAGTGTTCTTTTATCATTGAATGTACTAAGCACTAGTGTGTCCTTTAAAAACACTTTTGCGTAGTCAATGAATTATCGTAACAACTATAAAACTTTAGAAAAAGCAGCAGCGGAAAGTCGCGAGGGGTTCTGAAGAGATTCAGACCATAAAGCCGATTACGACAACAACAATAGCTTCAACTACTCCATCCACCACTACTCAATCAACTACAACGCTGACTAGGACTCTGCCAACTACAACAACCGCGAAAGCTATTGAGTCAACTATTGCATCAACTACTGCATCAACTACCTTATCAACCACCACTTTAACAACACCAGAAACTTCAACAACTGTCAAACCAGCTGATGTGGACAATGATTTGCTAGAGAAAAGGGTATGTTAAAGGTTTTGATAAATGATGGTAGACTAGTTGTATGGAAATTATGGTTGTTTAAGTTTAAAAGTAGCTAGAAAATGGCAAATTAAAGTAGCCAAAAAAACACAGTCTTAAGAGCTCCCCCATAAAATCTTATCACTTTTTCCTCCACTTCACTCAAATATCCCAATCGGAAATCCCTATTTGGGAGATTTTCCCCTAGGAAATCTTTTCTGACATCGCTTCCTGTTGATCGAATATTTTAATCGAAATCGAATAGTAGCCGGGCTTTTTAAGGTACAGATTTGAAGAAATGAGGGAAAAATTCATGGCTTTTGAATCAAAGTTCAAAGCGTTTCTCTTTAAATCTTTTAGTTAGTTCTTAGTTATTCTTGGGTTGGTGTATTGAAAACTGCCGGACTTTGAACTATAATTTATTCAACATAAAACCATCAATTCATTCCAAATAATTTCCATTATTATTGACGACTTCTGCCCATTTTACAGGCAATTTGCGGATTCCTCTTTCGTAGTAGGATTTTGTTTTGTGTGTGAGACAAGTGTGAGACTCGAAAATGGAGGACTGAAGATGTCCCAGTTTGACCACTTTCTTCAAAAGAAACTCATTTTGGTGTCAATATAAAAGTTTGAGAGAATCAAAAATTAGGCTGATAGCCAAACTTCCAAAAAGATACACTTAGTAGTTTCGCTTAAAATGCAAGTTTTGTGAAAATTCGTAAATTTGGCATTTCTTGAAAACCAGTTTTTGAATCGTTCTAAAAATTTGGATATAAGCTTAATTTTTGGTTCTCTACAACTTTTCCATTGACACCAAAATGGGTTTCTTTTAAAGAAAGTGCTCAAACTGTCACATATGACACAAACCGGCAGTTTTCAATTCACCAACCCAATACAAGCAAATTTAAGCCAAAAAAATCTCAAAATTCTTTGTAGATGGCCCTAAATTAAGATATTGAGCTTTAACTTTGTGCCCGGGGGTGACAAACTGTGACATATGACAATAGCTCGCAGTTTTCAATTCACCAACCCCAATAGTATTCAATTCTCTGTCTTACCTTGTCCATTTCCTCTCTTTGCTTTCTAATATTGTTCACAATCTCTGTGATCCTTCTCGTAAACATTCCCCGATTACAATCATTAGTTTTCAATCCACCAACCCAATAGTTATTGGCCTTAACAGGAAAATTTTAACAAAATCATTGTTAAAAGTTTTGATGATTGTGCTGGCATTTTATATTAAATAAATGATTGTTAAAGTACTGATTGTGAAATTAGAATGTTGGGTAGAATTAGAATTAGAAGCTTATTTCAACATAAAACCTTATTTTAGGAAGAACCCAAACTCGGTAGTCAAGTTGGCTGCTTTGAAGTGATCCCCGGTCATTTGATGCTTTCATCAGCTGGTGGCCTTGAACAAGGGATCTCGTTGGAGGAGTGCATGTGTATTTGTGCCAATAGCAAGTGAGTAAAAATCGTTTTTGAATCCATTTAAAACTCAATCAGAACCTCTGGGAAATACATCTTCGAGTGCGTTTCGGCGACCTACTACGAAAATGAGAAAGATTGTGTGCTAAACATTGAGGACAGAACAACGAGAAAAGAAGCCTTTCAAGTGTCTGAGAATGTTACTTACTTGGGACTAACTTGTTCTAGAGGTGGTAAAATTGACTTAATTTTTTGGTAATTGAATTTCCAGGAGAAGCTCTCGCACAGCATACCAAAGCTGATCAAAAAGCTGGATGCTTTCCCATAGTTTCCTCAACGACTACGAGCACCACAGCGACAACAACTTTTCCAAGTGGGTTCAATCACAATCGGCTTTCATTGTCTTTTAATACACTTGAATATCAATTATTTCTTTGAAAAACCGTTTGTAGGTTTGCTAATCTTTTCTTAACACCGTTAGATACTGTAAAGACTCTAGTAGAACTTTAATAGAACTCTAATAGAACTCTAATAGAACTCTAACAAAACGCCGCCTTTAATAGAACAGTCGTAGTCTAACTTCTTTTTAGAAAATCACTTTTTTCTCAGTTCCTAGATTTTTCTCAACTACATTTTGGTCCGAAAAAAATACTAGATTCTAAGGGCTATCATTTGAGACCTGAGCGCACACTGTAGCATAAAACAATGTCGAGAAAAACGCGTTCAAAGTTATACTACGCGACTCTGCCCTCGTCATTATGAGGTTTCCCTCATTGTTTCCATTTAAATCGTCTTCTTGAAAGAGATCTCGCTTAACAGGGACAACCCATGGGAGAACCTAGATCGTGGGACAACCCAGACCTTAACATAGTTGACGTTTGAAGCAATATGATAGATCTATAAAGACAGTTTACATGAATCACTAACTAAGAGACAAGTTAGTCAAGCCAATTCACTTTGGTTTACGATCTAAAGTTGCAATTTCACAAATCTGGCTTGATATTCTTGCTACGTAGTTGAAGTCATTGCTTGACTCGATCTCTAGTCATCTTTTAAGTGTGGGAATCAAGCACGGAGATAAAACTGGTTATTAATTTTTATGCTTTTTTAATTATATATCCATTATTTAAATAAAAATGTTAAAATTTTTGACAAAAATTATCGTGGGGTTAAAATTTTGCAATGAAGTTTGTTTGTTTTTGGTTTAAAATCAAAAACTTTAGGTCAAAAAGACAAGTGCTTCGAAGAGCTACCGGCTCACGTTTTGGAGGGAACGGCGTTGGCTGTCGAAGCTTCCGTTTCTCCACTTCAATGCAAGTGCTATTGTGCAAACGCTGATAAAAGGTTTACCCAAAAAAGCACTGAAAAAAATGTTTAGCAAAATGTTCCGCAAAATGTTTAGCAAAATGTTCAGCACAATGTTCAGCACAATGTTTAGATATGGTGAAAACTGTCAGAGTGCCCAGTACTATTTCGAGAGCAAGACTTGTTTAATCAATAAACAGAATCGGTTCGTACGCTGGTGCGAGGGTCTTAAAAGAAAGCTTTTAGATTTTCAAACCCAGAAGATTTCAATGCAATCACTGGAGGGCAGATTCAGAGCTATTTGGAGTACAAATGCGCTGCAAAAGGTGAACTTTTGTGATCAACAACTTGTAAACAACTTGTAAACAACTTGAATAAGCAAAACCTGAACAGCAATTTTCAAAAATTACTCTAATATCTTCTTTCAGAACAAATCAAGCAGAAATATCTGGCTGAGGATTGTCGAGAGATTTTACCGTCATCCGATTTGGCTTCTGATCCTGAATCTTCGACGGAGAACGACTTAAAGAAAACGGGCACAACAAAAAAGACACCAACAACTGTAGCTAAAGATGAAGGAGATGAAGAAGATGAAGAGGAAGCTACAACCTCAAAACCGAAACCAAAAAGTAACAAATTAGAATTTGTAGATAAGAGGAATCATATTTGTAGAGAAAAAGAAACAAATCTGTAGAGAAAAGGAAACAAATCTGTAGAGAAAAGGAATCAAATTTGTAGAGAAAAGGAAACGAATCTGTAGAGGAAAGGAATCAAATTTGTAGATAAAAGGAATCAGTTTTAGTTTTAGGCTCATTTTGGAGAACTTAAGCATAACTTTATGCATTTGGTTGCACTGTGCAAAGCCGTTTATTTGTTTGTTTCTTTGTTTGTTTCTTTTTTCTTTGTCTTTTGTTTTGTCTACGCTAATTAAAAACAATCGTCCATACCAAAAACCATTTGGAAAAAGGTTGAAAAGATCAAAGTTTGCATTTGGGAGGAAAAGTTGGGATTGGAAGTAGAAAACCATCAAAGGGTCCAGGGTTTCTGCACAGCTATAAAGCTGAGACTTGGGCCCAAGGTTACTGTAGCTGAAGTAGAAGAGTACTGTAGCTATTCTTTGTCAAATATAGATTTCTGGGATCACTAGAATTTAGCCATGTTAACTCCGCCGCTTTTTCGATCCGTTTGCCGTTGGCAATCTACGCATTTTGCTCGTACCTTGACCGGATTTGTTTGAAAAACGTTGAAAAATTCATTCGATAGAAAATCTGATTTCTTTTGCTGCCATTCGACTCAAAATCAAATTTTCTATCGAATAAAAGCAAATTCAACGTTTTTCAAACAAACCCGGCTAAGATACAAGCAAAATACGTAGATTGCCAATGGCAAACGGATTGAAAAAGAGGCGGAGCTTCATGACTGCTTTATAGCTAACTTTCTTCATAGCTAACTAATGATTCCAAATGATCTTTATAATCTTTCAGACAAAAAACGGAAAGAAAAGAAAGTGAAGCGAAAAGCGCACGATGATCACGAAGTCAAAACAACAAAAAAGGACATCAAAACCACTGGGAAAACAACTCTTAAACCGAAAAGAACAACAATTTCACAAAAGACAACCAGCTCAACTCCAACTCCAACTCCAACTACAACTACTGCCAAGAAATTGAGGAGAAAAGTACGATTTACCTTTATGCAAATGAATTAAACTATTCAGGCAATCAACTTCAACATTCCGGAAGCCGAGGGTTTGGATCCAAAAGACTTTGAGAACGATTTGTTAGATGTTTGTTTGAAAAAAAAGTCTAAATTCATTGCTAACTCACTAACATTTCCATTTTCAATTTTAGTTTGTTTTTGTGGTTTTTATTTTCATTAACAGGAACCCGCGATTTCTGTTCACACCCCACTTTTCGTTACTGATGATCCGCAAGAAGAGCTTCTAAAAGATTTCGAAGCTTTTGCTAACGACGAGTTCAGTGTGAGTGCTTGCTGCTGGGTTGTTTAACTTTGGTTTTAACATTTAGTTTGTTTTTTATTAACTAAGAAATCATCATTTGTGTGTTTTCGTTTTTGCCTGGTTTGTTTTGGTTTTTTTTTGGCTTCTTTCATGTGTTTCTTGCGGGTAAAGCGTTTCCTAAAAGATAGATAATTCGAAAAGCTACCTCTTTCTTTTATAACTTGTCCGCCCTACTTGATTTTGATTCCGTTTGATTAGTTTGATTTCTGATTGAATGGAATTGAAATTAAGCAGAAAGAACAAAATCTAATAGGGTAGCTTTTCAGATTAATCATGTTTTAGAAAAGGGTTGTTACGGGAAACACATTACTCTAGTAGAAACTCTACTTACTCTATTAGAAACTCCACTTACTCTAGTAGAAACTCTACTTACTCTTGTAGAAACTCTACTTACTCTAGTAGAAACTCTACTTACCCTATTAGAAACTCTACTTACCCTATTAGAAACTCTACTTACTCTAGTAGAAACTCTACTTACTCTTGTAGAAACTCTACTTACTCTAGTAGAAACTCTACTTACCCTATTAGAACTCTACTTACTCTTGTAGAAATTAACATAGATTAAAGATAAAGAAAACAAATTTAAATTTGATTTAAAACAAACATAAAGAAATCCACAGTGTAAGTCACCAGTTTAACCCAAATTTCAGAGCGAAGACGAGGAGAAATTGCTGAAAAAGTTGGCGAGAAAAGAGATCGAGGAAGAAGAAGAAAAGAATAAGAAAAAGAAAGATGTCAAGAAATTGAAGAAATCTGAGAGCAATGATGAAGATGAAGAAGATGAGAAAGAAAATGAAGTCACGACAACTCTTAAACCAGCAACAACTTCAGCTACAAAGAAGCATAAAAAACATCACAAGAAAAACAAAAAGAATAAGAAAGATAAGAAGAAAAAGCATAGAAGAAATAAAAAACAAAAGCATAAAGTGATTGAAACTGAATTGAAAAGCGAAAAGTCTGAACGACCAAAAGCAGCGTCTGCCAAAACTTTATCGATTCCAACAAAATCCGCAGAGAAAGATGAGAAAAAAGTTGAAGGAGCTGAGCAACATGATAGTAAAGAAGAGAATGAAAAGGTGAAAAGGGAAACAGATAATGAAGAGAAATTGAAAAAGATCGAGTTAAAGAAAGAAGTGGAGAAAGTGAAGAAAGAGGTGGCGGGGGAGGATGTGACGGTGAAGAATGGGGAAGAGAAAGGTAAAGTTTTGATTTAGAAAAGTTGTACTCTAGATATTGTCGCTTTCGGTTACAATAGCCTGTCTATTAACTTGTCTGTTAGTTAGCGATACATGTAAACTGTTTCTTAGTTAGCGATTGATGTAAACTGTCTAACTAACTGTCTAACTAACTACCTGTTAGTTAGCGATTCATGTAAATTTTCACAATTTAGACCTAGAAAGGACCTAAACCTACATCCTTTCCCAATCGATAGATACTTTATTCAAGACATAAAGTTCAAGACAATACCGAAGTAAATTTGCCGAACTGAACTGACTTTTTGATAACTTTTTGAGTCAGTTCTAAGAAAGTGACCAAATTTTAAACAGAAAATTAACCAAGCCTTTAGTCAAACTACAAAAACCAACAACAAAATCAAAAAGCGATTCAACAACGGTGAAACCGACCTCGTTTGGAACGAAAGAGTCCAAGACAACAAAAGCTATCAAGCAAAAAGAAGATCAGCACAAGAAACACGACAAAAAGTAAGTTTTAGCTTGAATTTGATGAGCAAAAATCGATTTCAGAAGTGAATTAACCAAGCCAACAAAGTCTACTACAACCACCACGACGGCCGAGCCAACGACACCTTTCAATGGCCGGTGTACTTACTCCGCAATGTACAGCACTGCTTTTCATGGAATCAAGCTGATCAAGGAAATCTCTGTGAGAAGGTAATAACATTGTTATGCTTTGAAAGTTAATCAAAAATACTGTAGCCCTGCTGAGTGCTTTGCGGAGTGCTTCAGGACAAGGTGTCGTTCAGCAAATTTGATCAATGGAGAGGATACGAAGAGTTGCGAATTGTTTAGGGTGAGTTGGGAAATTTTGCAGAGAAATTTCAAATAAGGTTGGTCTGGTTCACTCATAAACCAAGTCTACAATCAGATTATTTCTGTCTGTTCATTTTCTATTTCTATCCAAAAGAAACCTGAAGAATCTAAGTATAGAATGAATCTAACAAGGGAATGACACCAGCTCGAAGTTCAGAATCGCTTCGAGGCCAGGTGCATCTTATAGAATGGGACATGCTGATTCCAAATCTGCAACAATTAGCTTATAGAATTATGGGAGGTTATGGAAGGATTCGAACCCAAGCTAAAAAAATTTCACCGGTTCCGTAGACTAGCACACTATCCGCTAGACCAGAGAAACCGTTTGGGAGATTTGCGTTTGATTTCCTTGTGACGGCCCCATAAAGAATCCAAAATTTCAGCGAATTTTCTATACCAAATTTCTCGCGTCCACGTGCGAGTCTCGCAGATAATTTTTGCTAATTTTTGTACGAGCCCGAAGTTAATTTTTGCAGACTTGGAATCAGCATTTCCGATTCTATAAGCTTCGGTCTCAAATCGATTCTCAACTTTGAGCTGAGAGCATTCCTTGAAACTTGAAAATGAAAGAAAGCTAAGGCTTGAAAATCAAAGAAAGCTTACTACAGGGTGGCGCACCATTATGGAAACTCGTTTTTTCGACTGTAACTCGACACCCAATTATTCAATTCCTTTAATTTCATATTTAGATCAAATTTCAACTTAATTTCTCCGGCCAATTTCAATTTTTATTTTAGAAACACAGTAATCTATAAACTTAATAACCAATAAACTAGCAATTTTTAACAAAATCTGAAAGCACCATCGTACTCGCTGTATTCAGTAGGTGTTTGCATCTCATTGTCGAAATCTCACAGTTACTTCTGATCATTCCCTTATAAGAAAGTCTAGAGATGTACTTTCGAGCTGTAGGTCTATGTCTGTTCTTATAAAAGTGAACTGTTCAACTATGAGGCTCAATATTTCATTGATTGTAAGCTTATTTTTAAAGACAAGGTCTAGTCTTAATAATCTACGTAATCTATAAACTTAATAATCTATAAACTGGCAATCTTTAGCAAAATCTGAAAGCACCATCGTACTCGCCGTATTCAATAGGTGTTTGCATCTCATTGTCGAAATCTCACAGTCACCTCTGATTCCCTTCTTAGTCCAAGAATCATTTCAACTTTAGGACTCTCTCATCGACTATCGAAGGCCAGACGTCCTCGCCTACGACACATCAGCTGTCTACTTTGATGGAATTCAATGTTCTGAGAATTAAATGAAAATCCTTTCCGCCTTTTCACTTGCTTTTCACTTGCTCAATCTCTCAAAATGTGGTACTATCTTTGAAATTGAATCTGCAATGGGATACGGTGCTTTTCTTGTGATTTTTTCAAGTGCAATCTTTTAAATTTTTCTCTATTTGTGCTCAGCTCAGGTGATCTTGCAATTATCATTTTTTTTTTGTATTTTAAACTTTTATGCATAAAACTCACATCAAATCGGATCAAAAATAAATAACAACGAGTTGAGCAGAACGATTGGCAAACGAAAGAGAAGAGTTTTCTTTGGAACAAAAGAAAATCGAAAATTTCCACAAAAGATATGTCATTTTTGTTAAAAACCCATCTATTGGATCAGCTATTGGATTTTCAAAAGACATTTATTTTAGAAAACTACCGTAATCGAGCTACCAATCAATCAGAACGTCTTTTGATCGATCGAATGATACCAAAATTAGGGTAATTTGGATGAAAACTGATTTTGCGATTACGATAACTTTCTAAAATAGGCGTTTTCTAAAAAATTAACCAAGAAGAATTCCATACTTGATCCAAAAAAGCAAAAAAAGACCTACTTTACACAAAATAAACCACAAAACTTTCTCACAGAACAACAGAATCCTCGCAACTTTCGATCTGGGAAAGACTAGGCTTTGGGGAAGTCATACTGGCGAAATCGTTCTGAAATCATTCTAATAAAGTTAAAATATCCATAGAAAGCCTAGGGAAAGAGATTTTTCTTCAAACCAAACAATTCTAGAGCTACTTTAGCTCTAGAGCGACTTTAGTTCAAGAGCTATTGGGTTGGTGAATTGAAAACTGCCGGTTATTGTCATATGTGACAGTTTGAGCACTTTCTTTAAAAGAAACCCATTTTGGTGGCAATGAAAATGTTGTAGAGAACCAAAAATTAAGCTTATATCCAAATTTTTAGAACGATTCAAAAACTGGTTTTCAAGAAATGCCAAATTTACGAATTTTCACAAAACTTGCATTTTAAGCGAAACTACTAAGTGTATCTTTTTGGAAATTTGGCTATAAGCCTAATTTTTGATTCTCTACAACTTTTCTAGTGACACCAAAATGGGTTTCTTTTAAAGAAAGTGCTCAAACTGGGACATCTCCAGTTCTCCATTTTGGAGTCTCACACTTGTCTCACACACAAACCAAAATCCTACTACGAAAGAGGAATCCGCAGATTGCCTGTAAAATGGGCAGAAGTCGTCAATAATAATGGAAACTATTTGGAATGATGGTTTTATGTTGAATAAATTCTAGTTCAAAGTCCGACAGTTTTCAATTCACCAACCTAATACCTTAGTTCAAGAGCTACTTTGGTTCAAGAGCTACTCAACAGTTTAATAGTAAACTTTCAACTCACAGTTCTCACAAGAGGAATGCTTTCATGATGCAGTGAATACGTAGAAAGAGTTGACTTAAGAAAGCCGTCATTCGGACTACCTAAAAAGTGACTTGATAAACTTTTTTTAAAAAATGCTACCAAAAGAAATCAAGAAAGAAACCTCTACCATTCGTGGTCAGTATCGTATCCCGCGCTGAATCTCTCGTTTTCAATGGCGGAGATGACCTCGAGTATCCATTCTTCGAAGTTCTTCGATCAGAAAAGTGACTTTGGTGGAGCTAAAAGTTGACTTTTACATTCATTCAGATCTCATTTTGTTAGAATCGTTTCGCAATTTACTCACCTGTCTATTCAGTAGCCCATAAAGCACAAAATTGCTGGCCGAGTTGATATAGGGCAGTGCGTGGACTCCATACATAAAGTAGATGAATTGTGGAGTGGGCATGACCGAATCCTCGCCTTTCAGCTCTTGATACAATGAGTAGAGAACGGAGGCCCAGTAGGGAGTCCTAAAAGTTTAGGATTTGAATCTGAAAGGTATTATGATAATATGCTAAACCTGTCATAAAATGTCTAAATGTCTAAAACTAATGTCTTTTTATAGTGTTTTGCTCATGTTGAAAACAGTTACTATACTTTTCCACCAGTAAAGTACCGTAATCGGGTCCTTTTTCTTAGCCAAATACTTCTACTGACAGCACTTCTCCGTTAAACGACCGTAATCCAATTCTAGCTTCAATTTAAGCTATTCATTGGTCCTTTTTTCTCAAATAATCATAGATTAGCCTTTCAAATTCTATTTCAATACAGTTACTCTACTTTTTCACCAGTAAAGCACCGTAATCCGATCCTTTTTCTTAGCCAAATACTTCTACTGACAGCACTTCTCCGTTAAATGACCGTAATCCAATTCTAGCTTTCATTTAAACTATTGATTCTTTTGTTCTCAAATAATCATAGATTAACCTTTCAAATTCTATTTCAGTAATGCCGGAAACTTATTATACTTGAAGCACATTTCCTTTTCAAATTCGTGAAATGAGAATCGGAAATAGGGAAAACGTTCAATGTTTGATGCTATAGATCAAAAATTGCCATAATTTTTGTTAAATTTTCAGCTCCTTACCAGCAAATGAAATGAAATAGACAAATGGCGAGGGTGTAGACGGCGATTTGCATCACTGGGATTTTGTCATCGAGTTTCTTTCGCCTTGCGCCGAGACTCTGAAAAATGAAGGGGTTGATCTTATTTGTCGAAACGACAAGAATGCGTTTCCAAGTTTCAAGTAATCGTTAGGCAATTGTTGTTCCGTCTACTACTTCAAATAGTCCACTTTTCATAGTTCTGAAGTTGTTTTGTTTTGTTGTGTTATTTTAAATTTCTCAAGTTGTTCTAAAGTTTTTCTAAATTTGTTCTAAAGTTCCAAAGTTGTTCTAAAGTTATTCTAAAGCTCTAAAATTGTTCTAAAGTTGTTCTAAAGCTCTAAAGTTGTTCTAAAGTTGTTCTAAAGCTCTAAAGTTATTCTAAAGTTGTTCTAAAGTTGTTCTATGGTTGTTCTAAATTTCTAAAGTTGTTCTAAAGTTGCTAATGGAGGTAAGTCTTCTAATTTTTACACTATACTTTTAAAAGCTCGATGAGTGAGCAATAAAAAGCGCTTACTTATATTGCTATTTGCTACTATATTGCTTATTTGGTACTAGAAAAACTGAAAAACAGCTATTTATTCCCAGAAAATCAGAAATTAGCCTCATTTTCATAATTTCAATTTCCTCTTGTCCCTTTTTGATTTTTGCTCAACTACTTTCTCGAATCTCATTCTTTAATTCAATGAAATTTCAAACAAAAAATTCTTTTAATAAAATTCTTTTAATAAAATTCTTTTATAGAAATTCTTTTAAAGAAATTCTTGCAAAGAAATATTTTTAGAAACTTAATTGCAATTCATTGCAATTGCAAGAGACAGAAAAAACCCTTCTATTCAAAGTTGTAGGCGGAAAATCTCTTTTCATCGTTGATCAATAGCAACTCATAATGGTTGAAATAGCTGTTTAAAGTGTAAAAAATACCTGTCGTACGGCTCTCGTTTGTTTGAAAAGTCTTGTCAACATTCCATAGTAGAAATAAATCATCAAAAGGAGAGGGACCAGATACGCCTAAAAGTTTCAAAAGATTTTTTTTGTTGGGAAAGTTCGAAAGTGAAATTGTAACATTTTATAGCTCAATAGACAGGCAAGAAATGTTGATTGAAGAAGGAAAACAAATTATTCTCCTCCAGTGCCTTTAGCTTTATCTTAGTTAGTTCAATTGAACCTCTGGCTCAGTTTTTGTAAAGTTTTCTCGAATATTAGCTGGGTGAACAAGTCTTGACCACTTTTTTCCAAAGAACCAAAGAACCAAAGTCTTCCAAAGGCTTAAGAAGTCTTTGGAAGCTTTAAAACCCTTAAATGTTCATAAAAAGAGCTTTATGTTTCATCGATATCAGGTTTCTATCGTTGGAAATTTGAAATCCGCATTTCTTATGCAGAAAATGTTGAAATCCGCATTTCTTATGCAGAAAATGTTGAAATCCGCATTTCTTATTGCATGTACCTAATATAAAGGTAAAGCACACCGTAAAGCTTCCTTTAAAGCTTACTTTAAAGCTTTCCAAATTTTTCAACTCACCAATAAAAAGCAGTAAAGCGTAAAAAAGACGAAAAGTTGATCACCGAGATCATCGATGCATTTGTAAAGGTGTAATCGGGTGACCGTCCTCGTCGAGTGGTCCCATTTCTCGTGGACGATTAATTCCTAAAAAGTTGTGTTGTTAGGCTCAATGTCGAGCTCGAGCTAGGCTTTCTTTCATCAAGAATTGATTTATAAATAGATTTTGCGTCTGTTTTGCATTTGATCTTGAATCTGCTTACAAAATTGGTCACAAGATTCACTTTTTCTAGTCCCCTACTTCCCTACTTTCCTACTTTTCTACTTTTCTACTTCCCTACTTTCCTACTTTCCTACTTCCCTACTTCCCTACTTTTCTACTTTTCTACTTTCCTACTTTCCTACTTCCCTACTTCCCTACTTCCCTACTTTCCTAATTTTCCTTCTTTTCCTACGCTAATCTTTTTTGACATCAAACTATAGCCATTGTTCCCCTAATTTGTCTATTCACATAAATCTAATCCGATTACTCACCAGAATTTCTTGATCTATTGTCAATTTTCCAGAACCAAAATCTTAAACAGTTTCTTTCATGTAGTAGATAATCCCCGGTTTTTTTGATCCAAACTTTTCTACTTTTAAACTTTAATGGATAAAAAAAGCTGGAAATATCTAATGAAGCTTCAGCCAGCAAAAACGAGAGTCAAAAGTTCTTAAAGCCCTACGTTTCAATAAATCTTGCCATAGTTTATTTCAAAAATAACCTCCCTAAATCGTTCTTTAAAGAGGGATTTCTGATTCATCATTATCTCCAAGCTTTGAGATAGATAAAAACGTGAAAAGTGTGGCGAATAGCCACTAAAAAGTTACCTAACTCTGACAGCCTAAAAATTGGAAAAGTATTGCGGAAATCCGTGCGCCTTTATTCTATTTCGCTTCATTTCTATTTTAAAAGCCAGTGCGTTCCTGAACTTAAAAATATCACAAAAAAAATACTTTTGAATGGGCAAAGAGGAGAATTGGTGAAAGCATAAGGCACGTCATGGCGAACATCGACGAGAGGAGCAAGTAGACGATCTTTTTGCTTCGCATTTTTGTCTGAAAAGATAAAGTTTTTATGTGCGAAAATGAAGTGGAAATGAAAAGGAAAGGTTTTTGTGAAAAAAAGAAGGATTTCAAGAGATTTAGCTTTAGAAATGGTTTACCCGTTTCAGGGTTAAATGTGCTCTTAATCTTCATTTTTGTCAAAACTCCGATTGTCTACTTAGACAGATCAAAAAAAAATTCCATTCATTAAGAATATCATCCGACTCGACTCCAGATTAACCCTAGCGTTCGCCTAGTAAGCGCTTGTTTTCAGAATTTTAAATATAAATACATTTTCAAGTAAAAACCCACCCTTAATGGATGACAGACAGCACAGTATCGATCCAAAGAGAAAGCGACGAGGATGAAAGTGGAGAAAATCTTTCCAATATGTTCCAACAATCGGAAGAGTTTACAGGCGAATGTGCCAAACATCCAGAAGCCGAGCACCTGAGAATAATGGGAAATCAATTTGTATTTAAACTATTAAACTTTAAACTACCGTAAAATAAAGTAAAATACCGTTTTCTCTCTAATAGTAGTAGCCCCGTCGGGTCGAGTTGATGACTATTTTACGGTTTCCAAGCTTTTCCAGCAGCTCAACACTCTAATCCCCCACTAGATCTCATCGTCAGCTACATTTTCCGACCCCACATCGATAGGTTCTGATAAGCGGTTCTCGAGATATAGAGGAATTTAGGCAACGCTTTCAAGCAACGCTCAGGGTGCACTACTATTAGAGAGAATACGGTATTTAACTTAAACATTTAAACTAAATAAACTACTGCATTTAAACTACCTGATCAATGATCGTCATCGGCAGTGGAAGCATCGACAAAAAGTCGACGATGCACAAAATGCAAATGTAGGTGAGAGTCGTGTTGTGTCTAGCCCTGAAATTCTAACTTTAAGTTTTTGCGTTTTTCCTTCAATCCATCCTAAACCCAGATTTCTCCAAAAACGAGAATTGAGAATTTAAAATAACCTTGAACCTGTGAAAATCCAAATTTCAAGGATTTCCGAATCCAATGAGGAAACGGGTTAACGCTTTGAAAGCAGCCCAAGAATGTAAAAATGTATTCTATGATTCTTAACAATGAATTCTTAAAAAACCAATTCTATGATCTGAAACAAACATTGGATTTATTTTAGTAGGATTAAAAACAACTACATTCTTGTTTTGATCATTCTGACAATTAGGCCGCCAAGGCCGACTGGCGAAGAGCGCTGCATCTTACTAGGAAAAAGTACTAGGTCACCATGAGATTTCGAAACGAGACCTAACCCATCCGATAGAGAATCGAATGGGGAATCCGAATCTGTAATTAAAATCTGTTGAATAGCTCGCAAACCCGAGATTTCTGGCATCAAGGTTTTTGCTATACACTCTTGAGCTGAGTTTACGCTTCCCTTCAACGGCGGTCGTGGTGTAGCGGTTAGTGTGTCTGTCTACGAAACGGATCGAATCTTTGTCGTGAGTTCGAATCCGAATTCGAGGATAGGCCTCGTTTCGAAATCCCACGGTCATCTAGTACTCTTCCCTAGTTAGTCACTAATCGCAAACAGTTTTTAGATAAATACTTCAAAAAGTACAATAAATTGATGAGCTGGCTGACAATTTGCACTATTTTCTCACGTTGATATCCACATTCACCTGGCCTTAAAAGTTCCCCAGTCTAAAACCCATTAAACAGCCCTTTCATCGGTATTGACTTACTTTTTCTCAATGATACAACGATTCGGCTTAGATGTTTGCCCGATCAGCAAAAAGCGGTAAAAAGATTTGTGTTGAGGCCTAATGTATCAAAGTTTTGCTGAGGTTTGAGTCAAACTCGAGGTATTAATAAACAAAAAGCCATGGCCGACTGGCTAGGACACATTGTCGCCATGGCCGACCGGCTAGGTTCCTGGCATCTTAGTCGAAAGGGTTCAATCTCGCCGTTCGATTATTGGTTCTTGTTTCCATATGTTACGCCCGTTCTAGAAATCCGTCCGATCTAGACCGCTTCTAGATCGGACGTCCGATCTAGACTGAAGTAAGGTCAAACGTCCGATCTAGAATCAAGCCGATCACTCTTAAACAGACGTCCAATCCAGACTTAGATTTGATTGATTCTAGTGATCGGGTTGATTCTAGATCGGACGTTTGGCCTCAAGTGACTCTAGGGTGGACGTCCGGTCTAGAATTAGTCTAAATCGTACGGATTTCTAGATCAGACGTAACATTATAGATTTTTTTCTTCCCTACATTTAGGGCTTGGGAGATGTGTTTATGTCTTGTTTATACCGCATTATTTGTTAGATTTTTTGTATTTTTATTTTCTAGATCAAAAGCACTCACCTTGCATCCAAATATCGAACATAGTGAACGACGGTGAGAATTCCCGCATTTCCACAAGTGCCGATCAAAAATAGCAGAGCGTAGAAGCCGGCGATGGCCATGAGAGCTCCGTTCTCGTGATTGGAAAATGGGAGCACATAGTGAACGGAGAACTGAAATTGGGAATAAAGAGTGTAGGGAATTTGCTTAGGATTTGCCAAGTTTTGTCCGTTACCATCAAATAATCAATAATCAAATCAACGTCCGGGTCTTGAAACTTTGAAAGCTTATACTTATTTCCTTTTCTTAGCCAAATAAGTAAAAAAATTCCATTCTGGAAAAACCCCTTATACTCCATATACTCCGGCTATTCTGTAGTAAGTCCACCAACTGAAAGTCTTTGCAAAGCTTTAACTTTTCCAAAAAGCTTAAGAAGGTCCGAATAATTTCAAAGCAGTCCGAATCATTTCAAAACAGTCCGAATCATTTCAAAATGGTCCGAATCATTTCAAAACAGTCCGAATCATTTCAAAATGGTCCGAATCATTTCAAAAAGGTCCAAATCATTTCAAAACAGTCCAAATCCTTTCAAAACAGTCCAAATCATTTCAAAACAGTCCGAATCATTTCAAAATGGTCCAAATCATTTCAAAATAGTCCGAATCATTTCAAAATAGTCCAAATCATTTCAAAATGGTCCGAATCATTTCAAAACAGTCCGAATCATTTCAAAACAGTCCGAATCATTTCAAAATAGTCCAAATCATTTCAAAATGGTCCGAATCATTTCAAAATGGTCCGAAACATTTCAAAATAGTCCGAATCATTTCAAAATAGTCCAAATCATTTCAAAATGGTCCGAAATCATTTCAAAATAGTCCGAATCATTTCAAAATAGTCCAAATCATTTCAAAATGGTCCAAATCATTTCAAAATAGTCCGAATCATTTCAAAATAGTCCGAATCATTTCCAAACTCACATCATTCATTCCCGTGATATTCTTGTATGGATCAAAAGCTTTGGTCATCTGTTCGCTGAAATTTCCGACAGGATATTCATATCGAGAGGCACCGTCGGGAAGATAAGGATCTTGTTGAGAGGAAACGCCAGGAATAGAGTAATCCTCGTCCAACACTATGTCCATATCCATTTTGTCAAAGAGTTAGCTCATTATCAGACGTTTATCTGCAAAAAAATTAAAATGCAAAAGAGATGAATGAACAGAATTGAGTAATAAAACAGAAAAAAAAGAAAAATGAACTTGAAAAGATTCCACACTGATTAAAAAAAGCTTTACTTTTGACATTCTGCTAGATAATTCTGGGTTTAGTTATAAATTTATCCAAAAATCCTGGTATTTGCTCACCCCTGGAAAGGATAATCTCAACGATTAGTTTCCTAGAAAAAAGAGAAATCAGGAAACAGGATTTTCAGAAAAATGTGCACGAAAATTTGGAACTTTAAAGATGACACGTTCAATTTTAGACAATGATAAAGCCATAAAGTTTATCATTTTTAAGATAAGATGACTAAAAATGTCTAGATTATCTTCTTTTGAAAGGTTAAAATTTTAATCTCATGCTGAATCTCATGATAAAGCAGCTAGAGTTAATCAACTATATATATAAAAGAGCAGTGTCTGTCTGTCTATGTGTCTGTACAGGGATTTTCTTGGATATCTTTTGACCAATAAAGCTAAAACTTTTTTAGCAAGCCTTAGAATATATTGTAGCTATGCAATGTTGAAAAAATTTGTGTTGAAAAAACCGGGTTAAAAGGAAAACTGCCAATTTGGCAGTGACTACACACAATTCGGCAGCTAATTTTTACCGCATTGGAATGAACGTAAAATTCTGCTTCGAATAGTCTATATGTCGCAGCCGCTAGTGATTTTCAGCCGCTAGTGATTTTCAGCCGCTAGTGATTGAACCAACATCGGCTAGTTGATGGTGATTGAAAATTTTTTAGCAAAACATTTGATCGATGGTGATTGAATCACTAGCGGATGAAAATCACGAGCGGCTGCGCCTTATATGTTATCGGAAAAGGCCACTGGATCCAATCATCCTTCCCTTATCAGCAACAAATGTCCATTCCAAGACATTTTCATATTATTTCATTTCAAAATATGGATACTATTCAGTTCCACTTTTTCATGCCCATGGTAACTCGCTTGAGAGATGTTGAAACTGTTCAAAAAAAGAGAAATTAAGATTAAGCTAACTGCGACCATCAGCAGTTCTAAAGGCAATTGTTATAAGTTAGCCAACAAAACTATAGTCCGGGCAAAAGCCGATTTCACTCGATTTTCTAGGCTTACCAGGCTTGGCTTCTCGTCAACTCTGAGCTATCCTGGCTTTTGGGTTGGATTGGAATATCTCTGATCATCAATGATGTTAAGATCTAATCTGAGTAAAGCTTTTAAGACAAAAATGATTAGCACAAGACGTTTAAAAATCAAATAAAAATAATCAAATACAATAATCAAATAAAATAATCAAATACAATAATCAAATACAATAATCAAATACAATAATCAAATAAAAACAAATAAAATAATCAAATCAATGATTAAACTCAACGTCGAGATGACACTGAAATGCCAAAAATGCCAAAAAAAACCACTTGAAAAAAGCGATTGTCGTAGAAAAGACCAAAAAGACAAAAGGGGAATCAATCTGAGAATCGAGAAAGGAAATTCTATTTTCCCATTTTCTCGTAAAGGGTTTTGTGAGGCAAAAGCCGGGTCGGTTAATTTGGTTCACAAATTGGTCTCCCTTTTCTCATTTTTCTTTCAAATCTCCTCTTTTCCATACAACTTTTGCTTTCATATTCGGAATTCCTTTGAGTAATTCTCTTTCTTTCAGATTTTCCGATGACGAACGAACTCATTTGAACGCTTTTCAAAAACATTCAATCAAAAAAGGGAAAATTCTCTGCAAAATCTATATCAATCTTCTAGAATCTATTTTCCAGTTTTGCTCTAGTTCTAATTCTTCTTCAAAACATTCTTGGTTGAGCTGAAAACAAAGAAAAGGGAAGGAAGAATTTGGAAAAAAGAGAAGCTATGGGGAGGATCTATGATTATCATGTAAACATTAATAAGACAGTTTACGTAGAGAAATTTTTGGAACAATAATAAGAGTCAAGGAACTAATCTGTTTTCCAGAGAATTTACATAAAAATTAACAATATTTTGATCTTCCAAACATCTATAACTGTTTAGAATCTTCTAAACATCTATAACTGTCATGTGGAAGAGATTCAGAGTTATTAGAGAAGTTTAAAGTGTCGCAGAGCTTTTCCCTTTTGTCTCACGGCGGGACAACTCCGAGACGCCGACTTTGTTCGATGACTTCTGATCAATTATGAATTTGTTGTTTTTAATGTACAGGTCAAAATTGATTTTATAAAGATTGAATGCAAAAAAAGATAGTAATCCTTGCGATCAAATCCCTAGTATCTTCAAACCTTCAAAGCTGTTACTTTTTTAATCTGGGACTTCTTTAAGCATCTATATTTGTCATTTAGAAGTGTTTCAGGACAATAAAGGAAATTTAAAGCCAAATAGCAGGTCTTTTTATGTAATCTATAAAGATCTTTACAATGTTTTGATCTAAAAATCTAAAAATCTTTTGTCTAAAATATCTAATTCTTCTAGACTTCTAAATTGTTTATTATAGTAAATGTTAGTTTCATTTAAAATAATTGAATCACCCTCCCTCGTTCCCGGAATGTTTTTAAACAAAACCGGAAAGGATAAAAATTTTAAGAACTCCGCAAAAAAGTTCTGCAGAGTTGCAAAGAAATCCTTTCCAAAATCTTTTCCAAAATCTTTTAAAAACAAAATAAGAAGATGTTATTCATTTTGGAAGAAAGTTGACGGATAAAAAGCAGAATTAATTTGAAAAATAAAAACTAAGAATAAACTTGATTTCTTAATCATCGAAAAAGGGTTTTGTTTATAAGAAAATGAAAAATCATGACTAGATTGGATTCACTTTTCTTTGATTAAAACATAGCAATCTTAATTATCTTATAGTCATTATTGAAGATCCCAAATGTTTTTAGTAAAGCAATCAAGAAGTTGAGGCTCTAAAACACAGAGATTTTTAGAGTTTTACCCTTTGGAAATTGTGAATTAAGCAGAGAATTTGAAGCTAATGGGTTCTGGAGTGCTGTAAAGCTGTAATTTCTAAAGATACTATGGAAAAGTATTCGAATTCTCTTTCCCTGAAAACCTATACAAATTTTCAGTGAAGCAAACAAGAAGTCGAGGCTCTAAAACACAGAGATTTTTTGTGTTTTACCATGTTGAATCTGTTCATCTCCAATCAGTCTAATCTTTAATTTGTCCATCTCAATTTCCAGTAGAACCATTGACACGAGTATTAAGCGAAATGTAAGAGTTAAAGTTTTTATATCTATTTTACTTAGGCTTTCATATCTATTTTGCTTACTGAAGTCTTATTAGTCGATCAAAACTTTCCCCGATGGTAATGAAGTGAATCTTTAAATCACCTTTCACCGATATCCCAAAATTTCACCTGTCATTGAAGAGATTTCATTTGAAAAATTTTGCTGTTTCAGCAAATTGGCAAAAGAAAAGTAAGTGCAGAATAAATTCGTGAAAAGAGAAAAATAAGGTGATAAAAATGAAAGTGAAAATGGTTGAAATGATAAAATGCAATAAAATCAATAAAATAAAAATGCAAGGGGTCGGCAAGATTCATTAAACTTCAAGATATCCAAATATATTCTTGGTATTAGAATACGACAGGATGGAAATTACGAATTACAGAATTACGGTCTCACCTTTTCAGCAAATTGCATGCCAAACGCCGGAATCAATTGAAAAACCCTAAGTGCTATATAGAGAATCGAAGCCTCAATTCTTGCCTACACTTCTGTACCAAAAGATATTTGATTAGAGCTTTGGGTACTTGTCGGTTATGCATGCACAGAGACCTTTGATTTGGATTGGCGCTTGCAAAATCTAGTCGTTCCCTAGTTAGTGCGAGGCGCTAGCCGCTAGCCTAGTCCAAGTCTAAGCCTAAGCCTAAGCCTAAATCCAGAAAATCGGGGTTCAGCCCAAACCCAAATAGACTTAGTGCAGGGCGCGAGTCGCTAGCCTAGTCCAAGTCCAAGCCTAAACCTAAGCCTGAGCCTGAGCCTAAGCCTGAGCCTGAGCCTGAGCCTGAGCCTGAGCCTGGGCCTCAGAAAACCATAGGTTAATTAGTGCATTTGTTATTTTTCAACCGAATTATGAAAAGGAACGAAAAGACTTTCTGGGCAGCTTAATAAATGTCAAAGTTTTTTGTTTGATATTTACGAAAAATGGAGTAATGATACGGAAAAATTCCTGTAATTATAGTAAGAGTTCTATTACAGTATTACGGTAGATTTGGTATTACAAGTATTACATTAATTTTGTTGAATGAAAATATCTAATGAAGCTACAGCCAGCAAAAACGAGAGTCAAAAGTTCTTAAAGCTCTACGTTTCAATAAACTTTACCATAGTTTATTTCAAAAATGCCTAAATGCCTAAAAATGCCTAAAAATGCCTAGAACCTGCCTAAATCGTTCTTTAAAGAAAGATTTCTGATTCATCATTATCTCCAAGCTTTGAGATAAACAAATGTGATATACAGATGTGAAAAGAATCGTTAGAGTGTTCTAAAAGACATGTTTTAGAACACTCTAACGTATCAAGATCAGAGTGTTCACATTTTGCAACATTCAAGCACAGGTAAACACGGAAAACGATGTTCAATTTCCGGGTTGAAGATCACGGAAAATCCCGGAATCTGAGATAAATAGGAAAATGGAAAAGAAATGGGAAAATGGAATGGGAAAATGGAAAAGAAAACAGATAAATAGAACGTCATGTTTTGTTTCCCAAAAAAAAACAACAAAATATCAATGTACGAAAGGAAAAAACAAGACTTTCCAAGGTGAACTTAATCTTTTGCAATCAAAACATAAAGAAAACGAAAAAACGGGGTTTGAAAGTTGAATAAATTTGAATGAATTTGAATGGATAAGTTGAAAATTGAATGGATATCTCTTTCAAACATCATTTCTGATGACTCTTACGTGGAATTGAGAGGCTTACTGGTTTGTTAGAGTGAAATGGAGGGAAAATGAA